TAAAACGGCAGGGACGTGAAGCTGACAACACCATCGAGTGCAGAGGTTAGGAATATGTAGATCTATACATCCACTTCCCCATATGTCTTCATGGCGTAGTGCTTAATCAAGTACAGGGACAACTTTACTTTTATTTTGTATCATGTATATATTGAGTGCCGCCGGTCACGGTAGCCGAGCGGTCTAAGGCATGTACTGTCTTCGCTCGCTTGGAAACCGGGTTCGTGGGTTCGAATCCCACTAAGGGCATGGATGTGTAGTTTGTGGGTGTGCGTTTTTCTGTGTTTGTGTACAGGTAGAGGCCTTGCGTCGAGCTGATCACCCGCCCAAGGGGTCCTACCGAATGTGTAAGATCTAGAAAAACCGAAGTGAACAGAGAAGTTCATGGAGGTAGGCCTAGGCCCACTGGGGCTGTAGTGCCGGGGGGGGGAAGGAAAAGTTGTCCCTGTGCTTAACTAATTAAGCACTACTCCATGAAGATGTACACGTATGTGAAATTAAGCAGAAGTTGGAGGTGAGTGGTCAACTTCACGATCCGGCCGCTTTACCTTCGGGGAAATATCCCCCTTTACCCAAGGAGAGAGAATGCTTCTGCTTTTGGGAGACTTCGGATTCGAACTGAGGTCCATTCGACATGTAGAGCACATGCAGTTCTTGTTATGCGGCATTCGGTAATACCAATAACTTCAGGCTTATTAAGCCTTTCAATGCATTATCTAACAAACACACGTTCATTTAAGCTGTTTCGTTTTATGTAACGTATTCTTGCTGTAAGTTATTTGATCTTAAAACCATAACCTCAGGCTTATAGCGATGACTGTTAGGAGGGGGTTGGAGGGGGGGGGTTGTACACCCTCACCTAAGCTCGTCATTGGCTAGTTTCGCTTCTGTCCGCTGTCAGACCTCACGTGTTGCGGGGCAAGAATCCAGTGGCGGCTGGTTTGTTTCAGCACCCTTGACTCTCTCTCTCTCTCTCTCTCTCTCTCTCGTCATATATAAAGGTAAAAGTAAAGTAAAGTAAAGTAAAGCCATCCCTGTAACAGGCCGTGGAGACCAATAGGGTTGTGAGATGTTGAAGTTCCCACATTTTCTAGACAATCGGCTCATAGACGGCGGGAAATCCTTAGATACTTCATGCCACGTCCAATTTTTAACACCCATATCTTTAATACCCATGTTAATATATTTCTGCCATCCTTTTCTAGGTTTTCCAACAAGACATTTTCTAATACGTTTCGTCCTTTAAACTCTGCACTCCTTGTTCCTTCTATTCAAGCTACGAGTCCAGTCCATCGTAACATCTACAAGAATAACCTATTGAAATTAGACAACCTGTAAAGTTCTTAATTTTTTGTTTATTTAAGTCTTCTTAGATCCACATATTTGCCTGGATGCTTAGTTTTAAAACACCCGTAATGAATTCTGTTGCCTTATAATAGAAGCCACGTTTTAAGTCGTACAGAACACATACAAAAATCATACAGAATAGTTCGTAAAGTTATCGTTTATAGCCTATGTGTCAATCTTTACCTCTTTCAAGGCGTACGGCATAAAACAGACTGTGAGTTTATGATTTATTAAAACTTGATAAAATCAATAACTCTTCTGTTATCTATTTTATTATTATCTCGTGAGTTTCCTTATTGTTCTCCTTCTCTACAGCAATTTTCTATCATAGTTTTCTGTACGTACATTTTCCATGCGTGCTACGTACACTGTCCATTTACGCCTCTATAATTACAGCACTGGCTCTGTTAGTAACATAACTACGGGGGCTAGAAAATAAGGGTTAGGCATTTTTTCTTCTCATGAACATCCATACCTGATTTAATATTTCAGCTCAAGAGCAAACTCGAAAGCTCACCACACTACATAATTGCCTGCATTAGCTTAGTAATTTATCCTTATTGTGTCCAAAAATTTCTCCTCAGTACTTTATTTCCAAATGCCTGTGTTCGTCTCTCGGAATGAGATACGAGGTTTTGTAACCAGCCAATATGCAGACGACGTTATAATTTTACACTAATAGAATTCTACAATCGGAAAGAACCGGGATTTCGCTCGAAATTTAGCGACTCTGAATACTTCATGTTGTTTGATCTCGAACTCTGAATATAATACGTGAAGTATTTTACATAAGCAACCACTGCATCGAGGGGGCACTATCGATATCTTTCGAATGAACTGAAATTGGCTCTCTTATTGCGTACGAGATCTCGTTCTCACGCGCCAGAGGGTTGTCGCGATTGATGGAGACAGGTTCGTGTGTGCTTCTGCGGCAGGTTCCCGCTGCGTATACGCGTCTTGTGTGTTGCAGCAGTGTGCAGTGCCGTGAATTGTGTTAATTGGAAGATCTGCAGGCATGCATATTTTTATATTAAGTGAGTTGATTTAAATATTGTCTGAAAGCATGCAGAAACCACTTTACACTCGTTTGTTTGCTGAATTGTAGTTACAAAGTTCGTAGTAATTTTTGCTGTTCTTTGAAGAGAGAGAAACGTTAATATCTGAGTTATTCTGAAAAAGAAAACAGATTGTGTAGAAGTTAATAACAGTATATTCGCAAAGTTTTGCAATCAAATATACAGATCTTTGGGCTCCACAAATTATATAACTCGTAATTTAAGAGCTTATATATTAAGATGGGAAATTGAATGCATTTGTTTGTAGCCATTTTGGATTCCCGGGATTTAGGGTGCCATAATGACCATGTTTAGACCACAAGTTTAATATCATACATTAATAATTATATTGTTTGATAAAGTTCCTATTAATTAATTTATCAGGTGTTTACGTCAGTTATTAACAGTTTGTTGCTGAACGTTAAGTTGTGATATTTACAACTGCGTAAATCAAAGGAGTGACCTTGATCTAATGTTCTAGACATTTTTATATCACGTTTCTTCGTTGAAACCCATACATTTGTATTCCCACCATTTTATAGAGTAAGTGACGTCATATACGACGGTTAAGGTATATAATTTTAATTAGTTTCCAGGAAAAGATAGAGAATTATTATTAAAATACCAGTTATTCACCCAATTTTGTGTTCTAAAGTAACAGCATCACCTACATCTGTTAGTGTTATGATAACTGAAGCATACAACCATACAAATCAAACACCCCGTAACTCGTGGCTCTGACTGGCACAGTATGACAACAGACGCCTTAGCGATTTCATTCATTCTGTTCAGGTATGGCTGGTCACAAACTCTTCTCCTCACATTCTCTGCAATTTCTATGTATCATCTCAGTTGAGTGTTACTAAGTAACTAGATAATGATATTAAATATCCCAGCTCACTTATTTAACTTAGGGTGCCAATTATTTTTCACTGGGGCATTTTTATGTGTTGTTAAATAAGTAGTCATGTTCAAGAATATATTTATCATCGTAATAAATTGCTGTAATTCACAAATCTAGTAGTATGTTGGAATTAGTTTATTACGATCTAAAATATGAGCAGTTGATGGCCGAAGGTTAACATTTAGTATTCCTCATAATCGAATTAATTACTTCTTATTACCGCTTCAACAAGTTAGCAAGACTGGCACAGAAGAGAAACATTTTGGGCATATAATTATGGAGGATATATGCAATACGCATTAGGTCTACAGTTGTTTAACTCCGGATATCTCAGTTACCAGTAACTCAAATTATGTGGATTGTTTATTGCAATGCATTGTTATTTTTTTTCCTATTAGAACATGCTAGATGCTACTTTAGATTATTTTTTACTTTAAAGATATCCTGACAGAGATTTTATTGAAATTTTCTTCAGCCCCTCAGCAGTAGCAGCGGCAGTTTGAAGTGGCCAGACAACCCCCCCCCCCCACCGTTAATCATCAAACATAACTCTTCTCATTATATCATCAATATAATTTTCTGTTTTTCTAGAATTTTCTTGTTATGGGAACTGGAAGACAGAATCTGTCAGTTCTGTTGAAGGCCTATATAATTGTCTTCACCCTTGCAGTTGATATTTGAAATGCCCTTTGGCCCTTATCTGTGTCCCTGTTTTCCATTGCACCTGCTGTTTTAGTACTGTGTTAAGCATGTCATTGCTAACTATTTGTCTAGTTTGAAAATGCTGTAACTTACTGCATTTATTGTAAAACACATTTCAGCTGATATTAATGTTACACCGAAGGCCGCGCCATAGCTCAAGCGGTTAGTCGCTGGCTTCCCACCGCGGCGGCCCGGGTTCGATCCCGGGTCTAGTCAAGTGGGATTTGTGGTGTTGGATGCGGCAGTCTGTAAAATATACTTGAAGGGTTTAAACGGAAGAAAATTTTCTGTGTCCCCTCCCCTCCCCTTGTGGCAGGTATTCTGGTGAAGCACCAGCACAGGCCTATGTACACCAGAGCTGCGGGGTACCCACCTGGCTGCGTGTACCACAGCAGGAAGGCCGTGACACCGTTGCCAAGCACCAGGCCAAAGTCCTGTGCAGTCTGCAGGCCTCGCGCGAGCCTGCGCACTATCGTTTGCCTGCGACTCGAGCTCTCCTCCACATCCTCGGCCTCCTCGTCCTCTGTCACGACGTACGAGAGCTTAGAGGCGAGTGTCATGAGGAAAGTGACGCGGCCACTGACGAGCGGGCCCAGCCACACCCCCAGGGCCAGGTACGCAGGCACCAGTGTGTAGGGCGTCGGGTACAGGTGCAGCCCGAAGAAGAGACAGGCATGTCCGTAGCCCAGGATGAGCGTCCACTTGCATCCGACGCGCTGCACCAACGTGGGAGCCACGAGGGAGGAGAAGGACGCCAGGGCGTGGAGGGCCGAAAGCAGGAGGCCCCCCATGTTGGCCGATACCGCGGCCTGCAGGGCCAGTAGGGGCATCAGGGCGGCCGTGACCGTCGCGTGGCCGAGACACAGCGCCGCGAAATTCCGCAAGAGGACGCGTCTCGAGTAGACTGGCCCCAGACGGGACGGCGTGGAACGCACCACCGCAATCAGGCGTCGCACAGACGAGGCGCCCCCTGAGCTGGACAGCGAGTCCCGGCGCCGCGCCGTGGAGCGGGTTGAGATAGGCGAGTACGACGCCATCTGCTGAAAACATCAAGCAGCAGATGTGAGGCAAGCCTTCAGTAATGGGCCCACCCGTGTGTCAGAAGCGCAGCGGAACTTAACTTACCTCCAGCACGAAGTCGTCCCAGCAGGCACCGCCACTTCGCGTCTTGTGAACCACTCGGTGCTGGTGGTGCCCATGGTGGTGATGGCTCGCCCGCTCCCCGCCCTGGATGGTGCAGACTATCATTAGAAGCCTTATGAAGGGCTGCAGTCAGGGATGGAAATGCGATAGACGCGAGTATACGCCATCGGCTTAGTTGCAGAGCGCATGTTTTTACTTTTAGTGAACATATTTACAATATCTTAAGTTGTACAACCGTTTTTCCCAGCAACAACAAATTCTTGAACATGAATAATTGTAATTATTTCCTTTATAACATATGTCGGTCTTTGCCCGGGATATTCTGCTTGTCTGGACTGTCTACCTAGTCCTGAAGAGCCACTTCCATCCCTGGCTCCAGTAGTGAGTTAAATGGATGTTTTAGTGTTAATTCGAATTTAACAACCTGCCAAATTATTCTTGTAATCAGAAGCGCCGGGTGTGACCGAAAGGTTTCTTCTGTAACATCTCTCATTTTATCTAATTAACAAACTGTCTATATGGAGCCAAGTCCTTTTCGAGAAGCCGACAGTTCCTCAGCTACTCAAGAACTTCCCTGCATTTTATGGAACCCGTAGATTCATTGTCGTATTAACAAGAGCCTACCACTGGACTCTATCCTGAGCCTGACTGGTCCAATCCATACCGCCCCAACATATTTCTCTAAGACCCGTCTTAATATTATCCTCCCACCTACGTTTAGGTCGTCATAGTGGCCATTTTCATCCTGAATTTCCCACCGAAACCTTGGATGAATGCTCTTCTCCATGTTTGCTACATGACCTTCCCATCACGTCTTTGACTTGATCAGGGTATATATGCCATCCTGAAAAGACATATGCAACAGGTTTCTCGGAAACGTTGGTACTTATCTACAAAACTACTCGATCTTACATCCCAGAGGCGTGTAAACTTGAGTTAAATTTAACTTTCGGGGATACACCCACAATCACTCATCATCACTCATGGAGCTAAGCCCTTCTTGAGAAGCTGCCAATTGTGCAGCTACTCAAGAACTTTCCAGCATTTTATGAAACCAGAAGGTTCATTACCGTGTTCACAAGTGCCCTTCACTGGTCCCAACCCTGAGCCAGATCTATCCAATCCATACCATCCCATCCTATTTCTCTAAGATCCATTTTAATATTGTACACCCACCTACGCCTTGGTCTCCCCTGTGGTCTCCTTCCTTCCGACTTTCCCGCCAATATCCCATATGCATTCCTCATCTCGCCCATTCGTGCTACATGCCCTGCCCATCTCGTCCTCCTTGTCTTCATCGTTCTAATTACACTTGGGGAAGAATACAAGTTATGAAGCTCCTCATTATGCAGTTTTCTCCAACCTCCTGTTACTTCATCTCTCTTCGGTCCAAATATTTTCCTCTGCACCCTGTTCTCAAACATCCTCAGTTTATGTTCCTCCCTTAAATTCAGAAACCAAGTTTCACACCCATAGAGAACCACAGGCAAAATTATAGTTTTGTATTTTCTATTTTTTATGTTTTTAGACAGCAGACAAGGCAACCCCAGTAGGGGTCACAAATCCCACCTTCGGCGCGCTCTGGTAGGTAATTACATAAGAACTCGCAGAGGCTGGCTGGTTATGGTACTAACTGTGGTCACCAGGTGGTGCCTGACTACTGGTCGCGGTGCTTCAAATAGCCGAGAGATGGGGGGACGATCGGCCGCCGACAAAGCGTGCAGGTTAGGCAGGGAGCCCATGCTCGTCACATCGCAGTTGTTGAAGAGCCCTGTAGGGGATCAGCTCTTTGACTCTTATAGCTCTGCATCAACCTGCAACATTCCCCGACCGGCTCATATCAGTCAAAGAAAGTGAGATAATTTGAGATAAACAGGTTCCCCATGGTGGAGACGTGAAAATTACTGTCTCTTGGGATGATGTGTCGTGCGTTTCAGAGGAGCCTGTCTCTAGCTTGACAGTTAAACATTGGAACATTCTGAATTATCTACCAGACTGCACGATGTCACATCCCAGGCAACAGAAGTTTTCGAATTAATTTAAAACTGAAATGGTAGTAGGGATGAGGTGGGAAGGACATGTATCACGAGTGGGGGAAAAGAGGAATGCATATTGGATGTTGGTGGAAAGCCAAAAGGAAAGATACCACTTGGAAGTCCAAGGCATAGGTGGTGGGCAATAATAAGATGGACCTTAGAGAGATAGGATGGGGCGGTATGGATTGGATTGATCTGGCTCAGGATAGAGACCACTGGATGAACCTTAGGGTTCCATAAAATGCTGGGAAATTCGTGAGTAGCTGCAGAATTGGCGGCTCTTCAAGAAGGGCTCAGCTCCATGAGTAAGTAAGGAAGTAAGGCCGCGCCATAGCTCAAGCGGTTAGTCGCTGGCTTCCCACCGCGGCGGCCCGGGTTCGATCCCGGGTCTGGTCAAGTGGGATTTGTGGTGGACAAAGTGGCGCTGGGGCAGGTCTTTTCCGAGTACTTCGGTTTCCCTTGCCAATCTTCACTCCACCAAATTCTCCAACATCATAATCACCAGGGACAGGCTACAATAGGCCAATCAGTGGCCGCCGTGCCGAGTGAACCCAGTTGGACTCGAACCCCCACTAAGCGAATTAAAAAAAATAGTAAATAAGTTATGGTACTGTAGGATTTGGGGCTCTAGAAGCGGTCGTTATGAAGAGTTCTATCTTCTTGGATTTAACACCATGTAGTTCTTAAAAAGTCAACCGACGTTTCAGAGGAACATGTGGCCTCCATCTGCAAGATCGAAGAGTAAACCATACAAGAAACCAGAATAAAGAAGGTAGCAGCAGCTTGCTATCTGCTTCATTGCAATCTCCTGGTTTTTGCAGCCTTCAACCCTGAAGGTAGAGATGATATTTTCCTCCGAAATATCGATTTATTTTCAACACACCACACGGCGTTATATTCCGAAAGAGAGAACTCTTAAACTCTTAAATGGCATTATTAAAGTCCTAAGGTCTGAAGTTCGTCTTAATTTCATATAAAAGTCCAATCTGTACCTCGCAGGAAACAAATTACGTCTCCGCTGCAAACACCAACAGGTTAATGCTGTTTGGGTAAACAAATGACAGACCCGTCCTCTCGTCAGAGAGGGTGCCCCGCATCTACAAAACCGCAACCGCCTGACACCAACAAAAATCTAGTCTTGTTCCCCAGATGGGACTTGAAACCAAGATTACCTGGCCGAATGACCGTCGGTCGTAATGTGAATTTGACTGTGACTTGTTTAGGCAAACAATCGCTGTTAACTTGCGAACCGTACGAACGGAACGCGCTGCGTATGAAGGATACATAGATTTCTTAAGTGCTGAAGCACGCGGCCTTTACCTGTCACTGTACTTATGAAGCAGTAATCACTTCAGTGATGTAAACCTAAATATCCATGTATCCTTGAGGTCTAATTCACGGTAGCCATTCAGTACTGATCCTAGAGCTATCTTGGACACAGTATTGATTAAAGATGGTTGGATTGAATGTTGTTTAACTACTCTGTATCAGTTGTAGTTCTTACTTAGCGTTGAATGATATGAGAGGATTGAAACTCGAAGGATATTTATACAAAAATTGCCATCCTAACTTTAATATTATCACTGAAGTATAGAGCATAGAGGGCAGACATGAAAGTTGGCAGTATATACATTAACCATTTAGAGCACAGTGGTTACTGCATGGCACTTGCTTTTTTTTAATGCTAGTGGGTTGGGACTAAGTCCCTTGTACTGCGGCCACTTCTGGCCTATTGTACCAGCCCCAGATGATAGGTGAGGGTGATTGTGGAGCAATTGGTGGAATGAAGATTGGCAGGGGAAACCGAAGTACTCGGAGAAAACCTGCCCCAGCGCCACTTTGTCCACCACAAATCCCATTTGACCACACCCGGGATTGAACGCGGGCCGCGGCGGTAGGAAGCCAGCGACTAACCGCTTGAGCTATGGCGCGGTCTACCTAAACTCTGAGGAAAGAAAGTAACTGGCAGCCATTGACATGTTGAGGCGGACAGGTATGGAGGCTGACATGAGGGATCGTTACACCCAGGCGATCGGAATGTAATTTGAGGTACTAACCCGGAAAATGCCTCTAGAGATTGAATAGAAATTATGAAAATGAATGAGGATATGTGATTTCCGGGCCGAGATGTGAATATGTGACGTCGCATATAATAAGCAACATAACTATCCAGTCAGTAGTGATATTTGGTTCCTCCGCAACGTCGTTTTACTAACTTTAGCAATGCCTGTGGAGTATGGGACCTGTGAGTAGGTCAGCATCCATAGCTGAGACTTGTTCCGCCAAGGCGAGCCACCTGCTGGGCGCACATTTGATGAATTAGCCGGTGCTTCGTTGTTTTATTACATAAGAAGCGTGCAGTAAGTTGTGACTGCATTACTGCGCCCTTGGAACACAGGAGGCCTTGGCAGCTTCACTCTTTCACGCTCCCATTGTCATATTTGATGAAGGTCGTAGTGCTGGGTTCGAACCCTGTATCAAGCTTTTGTAATGCTTACTGTAACTAACTCCATCGAATAGAGCTACCAGTTACTCATGAAGTCATGGAATTACTGTCAACACTACTATCTTCTGGTATGTAAAGCCATATATTCCGGCAGAAGCCCACCGACGTTTCGGACGAACTTACTGCAACAATCTTCAGGGTCAGACAGTAAGCCAAGCAAAAACCCACCATAATATTTAATGTCGCGCTGAGAAGTTCAATTCCTTCATAACTACGATCAGAACAGCCCGCCAATGGCCCCTATCCTGGGTCAGATTAATCCAGTCTCTACCCTCCCAACGTATTTCTTTACGATCTATTTTAACTAAAAATATTTTACTTTAGCGTCATATTCTGTGTGTGAAATTTCCTCCCCCTTCCCCTCCCTTTCACGACAACAAGAACGATGTGGGCACGCGGTAGCGTAGGTGGTTGAGACATTATGCTACAAGCCGGAATGTCGCTGGTTCGAGTCCCGATGAGGTCATTGAATTTTTCAATTGACCTAATCCTTCGAGCTGCACTATGACCCTGGGGTCGACTCATCCTCTAAAAGAACTGAGTACCAGGAACCTCAAATATCCATCCGATTTGGGGATACTTCCAGCTTATCTCAACAGTGGACTATCCTTCAATCATATGTCCGATTTTGGAATATTCTCTGGCTTATTGTCTCAACAATGAACCAATCTGATTTTGGAATACTGAATAACTGACTACCCTTTAAGAAAATTAATCAGTTTGTTCCTGTTGTACTCATTCTGTATGAGAAATTATTTCGCACGTGGCATATTGGTGCCCCACCCCAAGTAAAGCGGGGATGACCCTGGCCCGCTACGCAGCCGTGCAAGGCCCGCTATCGACCTATCGACCGCGCTCTGAAGAGAGGCTGACGGCAACATAATCCTGGGGTTCGCAGATACATGAATGCTGCGGGGTTAGAGTGAACTCTATTTACATTCGTGTCAAATTGGAGCCAGGACGCAAGCGTTTATTTTAATTAAAGAAAAGTAAACAGATGAATTGCTGCTTGGTGTTGCATGGACAATAATTCGAGTGGAGATTTTTGCATATGAGTCAGTCCTACGTTTCTCGCAGATATAGCGTCGCCGTGGATTGGTTATATAGAACTTCTGCATCGTGTTTAGGAAATTCCTGTAAAGCTGCAGTTCTGAGCGAGACTTTTTTAATATCTTTCCAGGGTCTCTCCAAGGAAAATGACAGAATAGTAACTTAAATTACGCCATAATCGCATCTTTCTGCATCTCTGCAATTCATTTTGTACTAATCATCCTACCACTGGCTAACACATTACCACGAGAGGGAGTGACTATAGACGGTGTTTTGGAATGGATATTGGATTTATTGGCCACTTACACTCGGAAATACAAGTAATTACAGTGCCACCACTAATCCCCACAGCACACATCAAGTTTTTTACAGCCTACTGTGTCTTCACCAGCCGTTTCCTGGTAACAGCTTCTAACAGTTGAGATTCTTCAGCTTCCGCGTTCAAGTCTTCTCTGAATGGCGGCTCCCTTCCAACTGTCTCTTTTCTTCACAGACTCCCGTACAGAACTCACTTGGTTGCCCCAATTTCCTTTCCTTATAATTCTTCGGCGCGGCCCGCTCAGATAACATCGTCCATTCTCGTATCCATTGCCGCGGGAACGTGTTTACCGAGTCGTTCCTTAGCAGAAGCCGTCTATTCTTGCTTATTAGGAAACTGCTGCCTGGCAACGGACGTCACTCCTATGTTCGTTTCGCGGCCGTTGCCTAGGAACGAATGTTGTTTCACAGCCGTTTGCTAGCAACGGCTCTTTCTCTGGCTTCACAGTTCTTGCTTTGAGCAAGTATGCCACAATGCATAGCTTTAGCTACTGACAGCGTTGTTAAACAAACCTTAATAAATAGATGAGTAAATAAAATTGTTCAGGCACAGAGAATACAGGGCGGCTTGATCACAAAGCGCAAATGGTTAATGCCGTTCAGGAAAATAATGATTTAGATTGCAGTCTTCTAGAGTGTGACACCGTGTAGCCTTGTATGAGGGCTCAGATATTTCGGAAGAACACACTTACTCCATCTTCAGGGTTGAAGGTTATGTTTTTCTGAAACGTTTGTATCTAATTACAAGACCACACGGTGTCACAACCCAGAAGACCACAATCCTAACAATCCCAACCGTAAACACCATAAAATAATCGCTGTTCATTCGCAGAACAATATGAAATTCATAAATATATGCTATGAAATAAATTCAAAGTAGTGTTCAAAATATGTGTTACATATA